GAAAAAAACAAGTCTCTATGAATGTGTCACGCAGACAGAATTTATCTTTTCCATGGTTTGCCATTCATGGTACAGCCTAGCACTAGCGATGAAACTATAGGTTGAAACAGCTATATACTGTAGTATCACGAATGCTTTGTTTTCGGATTTTTGTTTCAGCTAATTATATACCTTGCGAAGGCTGCAGAGGGAGTCGAAAAATGAATTTCATTTGATGATCAATGTTAAAGCTCAATTCTGCAACAGACCGCCTTTGGGATTCTCGTTTGTCAAAAATATTTGTGGTTTTTCAAGTCTTGTGCTAATGTCATAGATATCGTTTTCGACAGAGGAGATCTTTATGCTTACGTATTAGTTGGGCTGGAAAGTTCGTAGGCTAACACACAGATGGAGTGACTAGTATTGACCCTAACCTTCGAAAGACTCGTGTACAAATTTTACAGCATTCGGATTATTATAGTATAACAATTTTCAAGTGAAGGTAACTCATATACAAGTTGAACTGAGAGCTAACGGCAACAATGTTAAATGTTAGAACTAAATTCTTACCGAGGTCATATTGTCTATGCATCGCCATTGTAAATAATTGAAAAGTAAGATGATTCCATAAAATTTGCCCCCCGTGACAAGATAGCGTCTGCATATCGATAATATGTACGAGCGAATAGGTGAACCAGTTCGTTAAATACTTTTAAACATCGGTAAACTGATCAACACTTCGTAGGTCTCTTATATTTGCGTCCTCAAAATGCCATAACTAGTCATTCGGTTTGTTCATTATCAAGCGTCCTTATCTGCATAGGCGTAGTGTGTTCTGTTTCTTGTGAAGGTGACTTTGTTTTGTATTTATCAAATATATTTCATTATATACTGTTCTATTTATTAACTTTGAAATATGAGATAAAGTTGGCCTATACTTGTTTTTCAAAATACATCAACTTTAAAATAGTTTTTGAGGTAAGTAAACAACTGACAAATAGCTGAATAATATGATTGATTTTATTATTTTCATAGTATTAAGATGGATGCCGTAGCAGGTCCAAGTAATGTACAAAGAGAGCTGAAGTTTATTTCGCTAAAAGAAAAACATATTTTCTGTAGAGTGTACGAAAATTTAAAAAATACACTCCGTAGAATGGAAGCTGTAGCCCAGTGTTCATTCCCAACGGAAATATCCGTGTCGATAATTGAATGTATTGTACGTGAAAAAAAGGTGACTGGGATTGTGCAACTCCAAAAGTACATTTGTCGTGGTAGAAAAAAATAGAATTGGACGAGTACCAGAAAAATTTTGTACGCTATACCATTCTTTCTTTTTTGAGAATAAAACGCCAACCCGAAATACTACTGCAACTAGTTATCGTCGAGCATTTGTGGACAGTTTATCAACAGGGTTACGCGGATCAACGGGTAAAGGGCAACGACTAATTGTCGCCCATATAGGTAGCGAGAGTGGCTTTTTAGACGATAGTGCACTCATTTTTTTATCAAAAAAACGGGGGATTACCACGAAGACATGGACGCCCAACGATTAGAAGGATGGTTTGAATCCCTTCTTTCACGAGTCGAGCCAAATTCGGTAATAGCAATGGTGCTTATCACAATCGATTAGTAGAACAGCTGCCAACTATGACCACCAGAAAAGCAGACATGCAGAGGTGGTTAGGACAAAAAGGATTTTCATTTTTCGAGGACATGATTGAGGCCGAGCTTATGAGTGTCATTGAACAGCATAGTGACAGATATCGCCAGCATGTGGTGGATAAAGTAGCTCGTGCTGATGGCATCGCCATTTTGGGACTTCCTCCTGAGCATTTCGAGTTGAACCCGATAGAGTGAATCATGCCCCAAATTAAGGGTTACGTAGCTCGTGAAAACGTGACACATAAAATTTCTGTTGTCCAACGTTTATTAGAACTCACAATGGAACGGATACGGAAAGAAGCTTGGGCTAATGCTGTATCCCATGTGATCAAGGAAGAAGAGAAAATGTGGAGATTGGACGGGATGGTAGACACTGTTTTCGACCAAAAAATAATATATTTAAGTGTGACTGGGGATTTCTCTTCGGACGAGTCAATGGATTCTGAAACTTCATAAGCATAACATAGGTAATGCTTTCTTTGCTTTTTAGTTCCCTTTCTATATGAAAGGAACATAATAATTATTTTGTAAATTTTTCTGTTTTTTTGAAGTACTGTATTAGGTATAATAAGAAAATGTAATCAGTTTTACCATTGACACCAGGTAGCGCCACCTACTATAACAATTCTTACGTAATTACCTATGAGTTTAAATAAATAAAACTATTATTTTGGTACGCCTCTGCAGAGTTGTTAAGAGGATTATCCTTTGGTCACTTCAAGTGCGACGTTGCTAATGAATTACCTTCTATTGAAAATTGTTATAGTATAGTTCGTGAGATAGAACACTAATTACGAAACGAACGAAAATTAATTTGAAGAAATTTCGTGTACGGACGAAGCATTGCATTTTGGCTAAAAAAAATACTGCTGAAGCCGAGGCTTGGCTTGATAAACATTATTTGGACTTTGCACCAAGAAAATCAACCGTTGAGAAGTGGATTGCTGAGTTTAAACGAGGTGAAATGAGCACAGAGGACTCATGAAGTGGATGACCGCAAAGTGAAATTGATCGACATAGCTGAGACTCTAAAGTGTGTGAAGCTGCTCCACCATAAAATACCCGAATTCATGAGTCGATATGTCACAATAGATGAAACATGGTTCCATCACTTTACAGCAGGATTGAAACGATCGTCATCTGAGTGGACTGTGTGTGGTGAACCGACTCCAAAGCGTGCAAAGACGCAACAGTCGGCTGACAAGATTATGGTATCAGTATTTTGTGATGCACATGGTAGAATATTTAGCGACTTTCTTGAAAGGGAAAAACCATCAACTATTACTAGTGTTATTGGAGTGTTTGAACTGCCTGTAGATTCATCGGTTGAAAAATTACCACTTTCACTTGTGAATAAGAAAAAACTTAAATAAAAAAGTCATTTTTCACCGGTAATACCTTCTCACATATAGTCAGTGGGCTACGTTGAAGACTGGCCATAAATCAAATCATCTAAAGGAACAATTTGTTCAGGCCAGTCTCAACTTCCTACACTGTAGATTGATGGGCTAACATCTATCCGACTACTCCCTTGGCTAATACCACGAAGGGCGTTGAATTATATCCCATAGGTGTCAACGGAGTGTCTATCATCAACATGAATCGATGATTTTCGATAATTGAGAATCGAATTCCTTCAGAATAGTATTCCTCGAACTAGGCTGAAGCATATCGCATATCTGAAATTTGCCCAATTCCTCGTATAAGGAAAGAAAACTTTCCACATATAGTCAGTGGGCATATTTGAAGACTGGTTATAAATCAAATCATCTAAAGGAACAATTCGTTCAGGCCAGTCTCTTTCCTTGTACGTGGAATTGGGCAAATTTCATATATGCGGTGGGTTACCTCGTTCACAGGCAGATGGGGCAATGACAAACCTTGTTGTTTGTTGTCCGCTTCAGCTTAGTTCGAGAAATGATACTCTGAAAGAATTCGATTTTCAATTATCGGAAATCGTCGACTTTATGTTGATGATAAACACTACCTTGCCCTGACGAGAGGCCAAACAGCCAGAAACCGGTCTGCAAGTGTGTTTCAACAACTAAAAATCTATTGCGGCAATTGTATCATCAATAACATATGCAGAAATAACTTCAGTGAAGATTCCTGCACGTACACCTGTCGGATTTAATCAAACGCGCTTCGTGGTATCAGCCAGAAAAGCGGTTGTTTTGTGACACGTGTCAGTTCATTAACCTACAGTGTAGGGAGTTGAATCTGGCCTGAACGAATTGTTTTTTCAGATGATTCAGTAAAACCTTCGCCAATCAGGACTAAACAAAAACGGCCTTCGTCGACTTCATCGAATCCCTAGGACCCAATTTCCATGCTCACTCATATAATCGACTTGTACTACATTGGCAAGAGGGCACTGATTCGAATGGCGCTTATTTCGATTAAATTGAATGAGTTTACTCTCAAGTAGACTCATTAACACACACAGAACTTTTGAAACAACCTAATAGAACGTAGATCCGACATGTTATAAACATCGGTGACGTTTGGCCAAATTATACGAAACAATGGTCATTGACTGGACTATAAGATATTTTCCGAATTGTTGGGAAATCATTTCTTCAACCAGGTTTTGTGTATTAAAGTTTTTGGTTCTCGAACGAGATAAGCGTCATGATGTATGTTTTTGACATTTTCAGAATTGGTAACGCTTGTAATATTTTATTTTTGTTCAACATAGAATGACAATCGTTTCAAGACTACTATACTATTCTTCGAAAATAAATTAGTGCTAATATTTATTTGTTGATTCGTAAAAGTTGAATGACCTCGATACTCGATATGATACAGCAAATTAAGGAAATAGTAAACCGGCAACAAACGCTCATAATTAAATTTATATAATTTCTGTTTCATAAACGTTTTGAGTTTTGTAGTAATATTGAATTGATAAAATAAATTTCAATAAGTCCATTCTAATTCAAACTGTTAAACGATATTGAATGAACAGTTGACTAGTCACACTAAACGACATCAACAAAATAATTAGCAGTCTCTAGGTAATTTTACTATCAAACACATTCCATACCTCTACTCTCTTCCATATTTTTGTTTTTTTCCATATGGAATTCAATAGATGTACGAATAACTACCAATAAAAAACACATTTCACACCACATTGTGACGCAGCACTATTCATCTAATAACAAATTGGAAAAAATATATCGTATAACAATATTCATAATAGCTAATTGAATAGTCACAAGAACAGAATGGATGCATTTGATTATTGCATTGTTCATAAACCCGGAGATACCTGTATATTACTTTCAAGATTAATAAAATAAATGAATATTATTGAATATCATTTTCCTTTCCCTTAATGTGAAGGATCTTACCTGGTGTATGCCAATACATTCTCACCATTAGCAATCACTCTTGGAAATGGCGTATATATTAACAGTCTACTTATACTGATAATCAAAAAATGCCGCTTATCACAATAATTACCATACTACACAGGGTGTGCCAAATTCAATTAAAAAACTCAGAACCAAAAGTTTAAATACACTAACTTTTTTGCACATTCGAAGATATCTGTTCCCCACAACTGAAGATATACATCTATATATATAAAAGAAAGTGGTGTTAGTTACACTATTTGAAACTCGAGAACGGAAGAACCGATTTGGCTGAAAATTGGTGGAGAGGTAGCTTAGAACTAGGAGATTGACATAAGATAATTTTCATTCCATTCGACCATATTTCCGTGAAGTCACCAAGAAGTCACGGTAAAACGTGGTATAGCGAAAACGCATCTGACATGGAATAACAAAAAAAGGTAAATGACAGCTAAATGTAATTTTGTCAATGGTTAATGAAGACAATTGATGATGGAAATGGTGGTTTATATTTCCTGGATGCCCCTGCTGGAACTGGTAAGACATTCCTGATGTCATTAGTTTTAGCTACTGTTCGTGGGAGATCCAACATTGCGCTTGCAGTTGCTTCTTCTGGAATAGTAGCCACATTGTTAGAAGGATGCCGTACGGCTCATTCAGCATTGAAATTGCCTTCAAATTTTCAAACTATTGAAGAACCTACATGTAATATTTCAAAAAACTCTGCAATGGCCAAAGTTTTATCAGCATCGAAAATCATAATATGGGACGAATGCACAATGGCGCACAAACGTGCATTAGAAGCACTTAACCGAACATTGAAAGATTTATGCAATGACTCGAGATGTTTTGAAGGTGCAATGATTTTACTGTCTGGCGATTTCCGCCAAAAACTGCCAGTAATTTCAAGATAACATTATAGAAAATACACACACTTCATTCAAAATCGTAATTCATGAATGAAGTGTGTGTATTTTCTATAATGTTATCCAATTTGGTACTGAAGAGCCTTAGGGCAAGTGTCTTAAGGCGAAACACCGGTGTATACCAGTTAGGGTGACAGTGTTCCATGTGAGTACTAAAAGTGGCCTACACGAGTCACACATCTTCAATTTCAATATTATTCTCAAAGCTCTTTTCTGGATAACGAATATACTCTGCATCAGGATCTGGCTACCTGAGCCCCAAAAAGGAATTCCATACTGGAAATGACTTTCCATAAATGAATAGTATGCAGTTATTGCTGTTGAAATATGACATTTATGGCAAACCAACCAGAAGATAATTTCTTTTTTGAAGCAGTAATTTTCGTATCAAATTTCAAATTACTGTCAATGAATATACCAAGAAATTTAGTTGAAGGCTTACTTTCGATTCATGTGTTCACCTAGTATTACTTGTTCTAGGTCCCACTTGGATGTTATCAGATTTGTTTCAGAAACATTTACAGACCGGTATAGACCGAGTTACAGTACCAGGATCTTTACGCCAAAGTACCGTGGTATCATCCGCAAACAAGATAAATGCTCCAGATATATCAAGTTTTGCCATTTCGTTAATATGTAGCAAGAATAAAATTGGGCCTAGGACTGATCCCTGAGGAATTCCGCGTACAATTTTTCCACTATCAGAAGTGTTGTTGCTCAATGTTATTTTTTGACTTCTACCATCTTAGGCTGTGCCCCGGAATCCATAACGGAAGAATGTATGCAGCACGCAATCAAATGCTTGAGTAAGGTCCAGAAGTACTGCCATCGCCAGTTCTTTATTATTTAGGGTCATGTAGACGTTTTCGAAGAAATGAAAGATGGCATTATCTGTGTTTTTTTGTGTCGGAAGCCAAACTGTTTAGGAGCTATAATTTTCTGTTTTGCTAAGAAACCCACTATATTACTTTTGACTAGTTTTTCAAAGATTTTCGATACGTTGATAAAATTGAGATCGGTCTGAAATTGCTGGGGTCATCAATGGCATCTCCATTGCAAAGAGGAATCACTTTTGCTGATTTCAAATTAGAAGGAAAGACGCCAGTAGTAAACGACGAGTTTATAACTATTATTAAAGCTTGGAGAGCTTCATCAGGCAATTGTAAAAACAACTTCACTAATAGGTTGTCTACACAGCGAAATTTTGGTTTTATATTTCATTCATTACTAGCTAATGAAAATAAACCAGTCGAAATATATAGAATATAAGAAAATGTCTGGACAGAAAGGATATCGCTTTCTACTTTTCCATTTTCATACGAAAATATGTGGGAATTTTTTGAAATTGGTTATTTCCTTTTTTTTTAGAATATTCTCACATTTGTTTGTACCATTATTTTCGAAAATTATTCTCTTCTATTATGTCCAATTTGAAAAAAAAAGTTTTTGATGACATCACCTTATATCATCTTTCCCACCAACCGCTTTCCTGCAGACTTTGAATTCCACTAGATACTCGTCAGGACAACAAGAGGATTGTTTAGAATTCTTGGAATTCTTGTTGAATACTCTTCGTGAGCAAAAAAATGGCAAAATCAATACTACTGACAACTCTGGATTGAATGATTCCATACAGTCTATCTCGTCTTGTGTTTGTAAATCTTTTGCTGAAAAAATCCTCATTTGTTTACTTTGTAGTAAATGTTCAAGGTAGCAAAAACGTATGAGAATTTCTGGAACTTCAACTAGCGTTTCCTAATATGACTGATAACCAGTCCGTGCAAAGCGTATTATTAAATCATCTGAAAATGGAAATTTCAACAGGTGATGGTCGACTGTATTACCAAACATGCGTCAAACTAACTGATTGTTATAGAAATCTAAAGCAAATGAACTTTAAACCTTCAAGCCAGTCTCTATATACCTACACAGTAGGTTTAATAGACTGACGCCTATCAGAAAACAACTTATCCATTGGCTAATACAACGAAGGGCGTTGGATTATATCCGACAGGCGTCAGTGCAGGAATCTTCACAGAAAATTTCCTGTATATGCAATTAGCAATACAACTGAAAGAGTCGACCTTCAATTATGGAACGGGCACACTTGCAGATCGCTTTCGGGCTTATTAGCCACTCATCGGTGCAAAATAGTGACCATCATCGACCTAAAGTCAATGATATTCCACAATTGAAAATCGGAATTCTTTCAAAGTATTTCGTTCCTCTTCCGAAGTTGGAGCAAACATCACAAAATGTCACTCCATCTAGTGGACGAGATACTAACCAACTGCATATCTGTAATTTGCCCGATTCCTCTGAAAAACGCTAGTTGCACACACACCGATTTTGGACGGCCGACTTTGCACTGGTCGTCCAAATTCCAATAGTGAACCACATGTGGGAACGGGACCTTATTCGACACTCCAACGCAACCCGCAAGGGTTTATTGTGGCTCATACCTACTCACACTCCACCGAATAAACCCAGCTTCTTTACGAAGCCAATTAGTTTGTATGGTGAGTGGTCTTTCAGGTCAGATCAAACTTCGAAGGGTGAATAAACGTCTTCTTGCCTTGTATGTGTCCAATCTTTGTTTGGCAAGGCCTAAAGCGATTCCAATGACAAGTTCTGGTCCGATGGAGCTGCTTGCAACACCTTCTTTTGCAAGGGAGTCAGTAGCATTATTGTCTTCCAGACCACTATGGCCAGGAATCCAGACCAGAGACGATCTGTTTAGTCTTCCTATCGGGGAGAGTCATTTTTGGCAATATGCTACCAATTCAGACGTTGCCAACGTGAACCAACAACTGTCTGCTCTTGATATTTCCTTCTCACGGAGGACAGTAGTTGTTAGTTGACAGTTGGAGGCATATATTCAGAGGGCATTTCCAAAATGCTGTGACTTCCAGTGTCAACCAATAGTCTGTTGCACTCTGCGTTAAATTGATTTGTGCAATTGGCAATGTGCACAAGTCTATATGTAGTCCATCTAGTCTCTCTCCAGAAAAATGTGGAGAGGAGGTAGATCTAGAAGTATCTCCATGGCCGCTGACGGTGTAGTACTGATGACCAGACAAGCCTGTCTCTGTAAGCTAGAGAGCTTTGTCGGGGCCGTTTTCTGTAAAGCCATCGGCTTGATACTACTAACAAACACACCTAGTTTCAATGAAATCGGCGATAAAACTTTTGAGTTATTAATAAAAGAAAAATATTTTTGGTGAAATTTTGATACTCCGTCACTCGGAAATGAAGCACGGAAAGACACACATCCATATGAACTTTTTTTCATGAAGATTGTAAATTGGTTCAGATTTTCATTTCCATTCAACAGAAATCACTTCTGTACGTATTTCATGGTTATATCTACTCGTTTACAATATAATTGTCACTTCTTGAATTTATATTGATTTAACTTCGCACTTGTTTTCTGAGAACAATTAGCAAAGGTAACGTGAATTGACGAAATAATTTCTTTGAAGCAGTATTTGAATATTTTTGGGGTCATGAATTACATTACGAATGTTTGCTCTTTTTCATTTCGTGCATGTTTGAATGAAATAGGCATGTTGAAATATCAAGAAGTATTTTGTGAAAAGACAATTTTGGAAATTCTATAGAACAAAAATCTCAACGCGATAAACTTCAAAACTACCGATCGGATTTTCCAACTGTTTACATCAATGGACGCAATGATTCAAGAGAAAGGTTTAAAAAGGTTTACACCGGCGGAGATAACTAAGTGAAAGGATATTTTTCGTATTTCCCCTTTTGTTGTGGCTAGTGCTACAACAATTTTCATTTTGTTTTTCTCACTGCATCGGTTTTGATATTGTCTACCGCATTAGTATACGAAACGTCAGGCATTTTAACCTGCAGAGCACGGCCAAAAAACCCGAAAAATAGCTTTCACACAGAAAAGTTCATTTTTATAATTCATACTTATATTTTTTATGTGAATTGATTGAAGCACGACGGTCTTGTGAGAAGTCAGGGTTTTTGTCGAAAACGCTGCATAACACCTTTGAGATATAACAAAATAGTCAGCTACATATCTTTCATAGGTTTACGAAACTTATTCCATAAACATTGGGCAGTACATGTTGAAAAAAAATCCCTACAGTAGATTTGCCAAACGGTTTTCTGAAAAACAAATCTATAAATTCGATTATGT